CTTTAAGTATAAAGAGACAAATAAGTTGACAGTGGAAGAATGTTAACTGACATACTAAATGTGAGCCACAAGAATGGAATGTTCAGTCAACATCAGACAAAGCAGACTGCAAGACTGTGGGCTTGGTTCCAGACACTGCAGTAAAAGCTGTCGCGATTGAGTGAGTCGCACGAATTTTTTGGTTTCCCAATGCGTATAAACGTTTCGTTTACACTGCACTATAGTCCATTAAGTGTGCGTTATGTCTGAACAACGTATGTACCTTAATGAAAAAATACTTAATTGGTAAAAAATGCTCTCGGTCTCGCGAGTCTCGAGCAAGTCGTAGTCTTTTTGCTGGTGGCGGGTCTGCCTCGGTGTCGGTGACGTGATGGCTGCCCGACAGGGTGGTGGTCGCCGAAGGCTGGGTGGCTGTGGCAGTTTTCTGACCTCAGCAGTGACGTCTGCTGCATCGAGTGACGCTTCCTGTCTCCAGCGGTTTCTGTGCAGCCCGCGATGCCGGGTGGCAGCGTTTCACCTGCAGCAGAGCGTCCGTCACAGTGGGAGCCCGTCCCCTCAGCCCTGCCACTGCTTCATCAGCCGTTTACGTGACATCCTCAGTCCTTGGCTGTCATTTCGGCATCTTGCCGGCATCTTCGCCAGGAGTGGCTTCTGTCTCAGAACTCCTTGCGCGTCCCAAGAAGCCACTCCTCCCCTGCCCCAGCTCTGTCATGGGTGGCGGCGGTCCAGTCGCATCTTCAGGCTCCACCGCTGAGTCACGTGCTGTTTGTTTCCACTCTGTCCGCAGTGACCTTCTCCACTGATCTCAGACCCTCGGTCGTCTGAGAAGGTTGGAGTCAGCTTCTTCCCAGCTCCCGCCAGTGTCGATGTTTTGCCCTCGTCTCTTGAATCACAAATGTTTTAATGACATCTAGAGTGCGGAATCCTTTCCGGAAGGTTTTCCATTCGCTTTGCCCAGCTCCATCAGAGGAATCACTGTCCGCGGCAGCTCTGGCCTCACGAAATGCGTTTCTTAAATAGGAAGACTTCCGAATCTCAGTCACTCCTGGGTCCAGGGGCTGCAGAGTGGGTGCTGTGTTCGCAGGCATGAAGATGACATTCGTCACATCCATCCCCATCAGAGCTCTTAGGGGACCAGGTGCCTTGTCAGCGAGCAGTCACGTTTTGAAAGGGATCTGTTTTGAGCATCAGGTGTCTTCAGTGGGCTTAAAACACTCAGTAAACCACGTCGTAAACAGACGCGCTGCTGTCGGGCTTGTCGTTGCATTTTCGGAGCTCAGGCAGAGCAGATCGAGCGTGGTTCTTAAGGACCTTAGGATGGTCAGAATGGTGAGTGAGCACTGGCTTCAACTGAAAGTCGCCGGCTGCGCTCGCCCCTGGCACGAGAGTCAGCCTGTCCTTGGGCGCGTTGAAGCCAGGCACCGACCCCTCCCTGGCTAGGAAAGTCCGGGTGGCATCTTCTTCCGGTAGAGGGCTGTTTTTTTCTGCACTGAGAATCTGTCGTTCAGCGCTGGCCCTTCTGGGTGGCGTGCCGCAGCGTCTCCATCCACACGTGCGGCCGCACCTGCGTGTCGCCGTTACGAAGACGGCATCCTCCGTGGACCTCGTGGACCCGGCTCCGCCAGCCTCGCCGTCCTCCGTAGCCTCCTCACCTCTCAGCCGCACAGAGCCGAAGCGTGTTCGGGCCTCGGCGGGACGAGGCTCTGGTGTCAGGGGCGCCGTGCCGGTTCGGTCTCCCGTCCAGACCGCTGGACCTTCTGCACGGCAGCAGCGAGGCGTCCCGCGTTGCTACCGGCCGTGTGTCCGCTGGAGCAGCTCTCTTCGCTCCCTGCAGGGCCTTCCCTTCGCGTTCGCAGCGCGGCTCTCGTCGCCAGGAGCCGAGCCTTCGCCTGTCCCGGCGCTCGATGGCCCCCTCCCGCCCCAGCTGAGTCGTGTCTGGCTTTCGATTTAGAGTGAGGGACCCGGGACTCTGCCTTTCACGTGAGCCCTGAGAAGCCGCTGTGGGGTCGTTCACTGGCCTGGTTTCAGTGCTGTGTCTCGGGGAACAGGGAGGCCCGAGGAGAGGGGGACAGAGCGGGATGGCTGGTCAGCGGAGCCGCCAGGACACGCCCCGCGTTCATCGGTTAAGTTCGCCGTCTCCTGTGGGTGTCATTTGCGGTGCCCTAGTGCCGGGGTCCCCGACCTCCAGGCCGCGGACCGGTACCAATCCGTGGCCTGTTGGGAACCGGGCTGCACAGCAGGAGGCGAGCGGCGGGTGAATGAGCAAAGCTCCCCAGTGCCGGCATCACCCCTCAGCTCCACCGCAGGTCCCCAGGCACCAGATTCTCACAGGAGCCCCGGTCCCTAGGCCACAAAGGTTGGGGACCGCTGCCCTAAAGCAGGTATAGAGGTAACATCGGCGGTCGCTGATCACAGGTCACCATAGTGAGTGTAATAATGAAAAGGTGTGAAATGTCGTGAGTCACCGAAGTGTGGCACGGAGTCAGAGTCAGCTCAGGCTGTGGGAGAAACGGTGCCGCTGGACGTGCTGGACATGGCGTCGCCACTGAGCGTCAGTCTGTAGAATACGCAGTGTCGCTGAGAGCGATGCAGCACTGTGTGCCCGTTGAAGCGGATGAGGAGCCTTATGATTTGGCCACTCACTTCCAGACAGTTGTAAAGATACAGGTTTTTAATGTTTTAAGCACCAGAGATGGGATTCTTTTTTGGGAAGAAATAATGCACACTGCATCCGTTGTACCAGAGGGAGCTGCGCTGGGCCTGCGGCAGTGGATGCGGGCTGTGCTCACTTCTGCGGGGGCCGCTTCTGCACTCCGCCCCCCAGTTCTGTCGTGGACGGGAGGGGTCCTCGGCAGTGTGCCGTGTCAGGCTGTTTGGGAGGAAGGTGGTTCTGTTTTGAGATGCGCCTCGACTGAGACACTTGTCGGAGATGGCGAGGACGTGGTGGCGTGCTGCTTGACGTGTTTGAGCCCAGCGAGCCCAGCCCATGGCTCCGCTCTCGGCGTCGCTGCCCCGGTTACAGAGGCTGCTGGACACAGGGTGGCCCAGCCCACATGACACGTGGGCTCTGTTCCAGGGTGTTCCACGAGTGTTTTTGAGGTTCTTCATACTTTTCTCTTGAACAAAGATTCTTAAACATAGGCTTTGTTTCCGTTTGAAGCCTTGCTGCGCAAAGCCACTCTCGGGTGTCAGGCTGTGGTGGGGCGGCCCCGTCCGGCCTGGACAGGCCTCACCCAGATGTGGCTTGTCCCCAGTGTGGAAGAGTGCACGCTTGCACCCTCGGCGCAGATAACGGACGCCTTTCTCGGCCTCTGGTGCCTCTGACGTTTGTCCTTTTTAAGAAGAGCAGCCCCAGGCCCGTGCGCTCTGCCCCGGCGTGACGCGCGCGTCCTCTGCTTGGTACCTGCGTGTGTCCGAGCGCCTGCGTCTGCTGTGTCGTCAGACTGCGCTGGGGCGGGGGTTGGGCACCCGGACGCCAGGTCGGAGGGGCAGCCGTGCTCGTGGCAGCTGGCTGTGGCCGGTGCGCTCAGGTGCCCGTGTGTCTGTTGCAGGTCTCACCAACGGTTTCGGGGGCGTGAGGAGTGAGCAGGAGCCAGACGGCGCCCCAGGCAGGAAGGCCGCAGCCCGGCGCCGCTGCGCCTCCGAGTCCAGCGTGTCCTCCAGCAGCAGCCCGCTCTGCGACACCAGGTGGGCGCTCGCCGTGTCCCCAGCCTGCCCGGCCGGGAGTGCACACATGTTCTGCCCAGGGGCGATCTCCCATGGGGTGGTCTGTTTCGTAGACTTTAACCGGAAACGAGAAATACAGTGACATGGAAAGAGCACAATTTCTTGAATCCACGGATAACTTACATTGTTCCCTGTGCCCAGAGTCTGGTCTCTGTTTGAAATGGGGGCAAGCACAGCCCTGGCGTCTGCCCCGCGGGGCTGCTCCGGGCCTGGGCCCCGCAATCCCCGCCTGTCGGGCAGGCCCTGCTCCCCGCGAGGCTTAGGCTCAGCTCCCCGGGCCTGGCCTGGGGCCGCGGGCAGCGGGGCGGAAGGGCACAGCGCCTCTCTGACCAGCTTCGTTTCCTCCTGCAGCTTCGGCGTCCCCAGGTGCGGCCGCGGCAAGCCGGCCCTGGCACGCAGGCACACGCTGGAGGACCGCAGCCAGCTCATCTCCTGCATCGAGAGCGGGGACTACGCCAAGGCTGCCAGGATCGCGGCAGGTGGGTGGCGCCCGGGCCCCTCCCGTGCTCCGCTCTGGCCGGGCCTCCAGGAGGCTCACACCGTGACTCAGGTGCCTTTGCACGCCCGACTCCCTCCCTGACAGGGATGGCACCGCGCGCGGGGCCGGGGTGGGGTGACGGTCCTGTCCTGCGCTTGCCGTTGTCACGTGGAACGCTCAGCTACAAACGGCTTCTGGGCCTCAAACACCCAGCGTTGGTTTAGGCTCGTCTGTGATGTGCAGTTGTGTGTGGGATGTGGGGGGTGGCGGCCCCTGCCTTCCAGCACCCAGAGGAGGCTTGGGGTCAGCGGAGTGGA